GATTAGCCCTTTCGCCGGAGCGCCACTTGAGAGACCAACAATGGCTTTGGAAGCTTACGCATCACAAGCATCCGATTCAATCCATGCCAACGTTCTCTCACAAGCAAGGCTAGCTTGCTACAAGGTAGTCAGTCTTAATTTAAAGATTCGATTTTTTATTTTCAATTTTTGTACAAATCTGCATCTAAGATTATTGGTTATCAAATTTTTGACTGCAAAACTTCAAATTAATTTCAAGAAAGTTGATAAATGCTGAATTTTTCCTGTCCAAAAGGCACGTGATGCATTTTATGCATGTTTAGAGAAGGAATCGAACAAAAAACCCACAGAAATTGCATATGTGGGGCTGCTTTACCCTGTGGAATGCAAGAAAAACAGAGAGGCATATGTGAAGCAATGCAGACCCACTTGGGTAATTTTCCCTCAATAAGAAATTTTTTCGACTTGGTGGGTTTATTTTTGCTATTCAGAAAATGGGTTTTTAGTTATTTGGGATTTTATTTTATTTTTTGTTTGTAGGTGAAGCATTTTGATAGGCAGTACTGTGCAAAGAAGAGGGTCCAGAGGCTGTTGGATGATAACGAGTCCAGGAGAGGTCCGTTGTCCCTTCCACAGCCTTATACTTTTAAAGCCCCACCTTCGTGATGATTTCTTATTTATGCTAATAAATACATAGATATCTTGAAACTTTTGGCTACATGTGTTATTTCGGATTAATCTCTCTGTTTGGGAAATTGGCTGTTCAGCCAATGTATAGTGATCAGCAACATAATTTAGTAGTTTACGCTTTATCTCGAGTCTCTATCAATGAAATGTTCAACTTATGGAAGTAATAGAAAAATATTTGGTTCTCATAACTTCAATACGTAGTGATGGTTGCATACTAGCATTGATATTTCACCCTATAGCAATTGCTATGGGGAATTCCTCCTATTTGTTGATTGTGCTTGATTAAAAACTAGCCCTTTAGTTTTGGGGAGGAAGTAGATAAAATTCTCTTTTGGATTGGTTCTTAGAAACTTATGGCCTTGTTGGCTTGGGTTGAATTTGGCAGGGGTTTAAAGCTGGGCCCCTTCCGGAAGATGCAAGTGAATAGTCTATCAGTTGTCCTTGTAACTTACCCGCACGACCCTTGCTTCGAACTTTACAAAACTTAAATTGAGAACAAGAAGTCGCTGATGTGCCAAGTTATAAAGCATTTTGCAAATCTAAGAAGTCTGCTTGTGGCATTCATGTGCATACTCAGCTATGTG